CCCCAATACAGCTGATTTTTAGGTCAACTGCTCAATTGGCTGAGCAAAAGTGTGATCCAAAGCTTGAAACTTGAAATGAGTAATCTTGAGGGTCCATAATGATCCATGAAAGTCATATGGGGCATTGGAAGTTCAAATATCCTTGTGCAATCTCAAATCCTAATTTTGGTCATCAGTGCTTAAGGAGGTGTCTTGAGCTGATCAACCCTAGTGTAGTCTTGAGCCAAAGGAGATCTTGTGAGCAAACTATTGATAAGTGAGAGGGAAAATTTTGGGGTACAACAGGAAGGAATCGATTACACTCGATTCTTAGATTTCCGATTCACTCAGCTTCTCATAAACGAAGTCAAAAAATCGAAAGTGGATCTTTAGTCCAATAGTGAGGAAAACGAGGATGCCCATCTAAAGCATATAACACCCGAGGGTATCTCGGACCACACTTAGCTCGCATGAATCAGTCTTTAAAACCCTTGTAATTAGTAGTATATGCTTGGAGGAAGCTCTTGTGAGAAATGTCGTTGATCTAAATCCAGCTATGCTTCTCAACCCCTTTCACCTCAAAGAAAGAAAATAATAAACCTATGGTAGAGACAATATTCATCGCCTCATAGACCATTTCAAAAGCCTTTATAAAACCCCAACTACTGGTTAGAAGCTGAGAGGGCGCGATGTTCACGGTCTTCAATATATCTACCTCGAAATATTAGAAGGGCATGCGAATATCAAAATCCTCCAGTACCCCGGCATAAAAGTAGAAGAACTCGTCTTTGGAACCTTTAGGGCGGAAAATACATACTCGTCCTTCGGGGCCATAAGATTCCAAGATGACGTATTTCTCATTCCCGGTCAAAGATACGTCCCTTAATGACCGAATTTTAGCAATCTCCACGTCATCAATAGAACTATTTTTATAGCTCGTGACTTCTATGTCAAAAGAGGCGACTGTTTCCATTAACATTTCTACAGAACCTGAGGAGGAAGAGTTGGAGTTAGAATCGCTTAAAAAGGTGAATATATCACCATAAAAATCTTTTATGACTCGATCGTTCTCTTCCCGACTTAAGGAACCTTTGATATCATGCATGCATTTTTTCCCATAATTCTTTTCTCTCCTCAGCATTTTTGGGTTTCATAACATTTCCCTCACTGTCACACTCTCTTATAGTTACCATTCCCTAAAGACAAAAAAGAACAAAAGAAAATGAAAAAGGAGAAGGAGATACCTGAGAGTGATGAACACTTTGAATTGAAGTAGGTTGTGTTGAGAGAAAGACATTACATATGATGGAAAGAGATGAAATATGAAAGAACGAAATAGGGTTTAAATAAGGGCCTAGTGAACAGTGCCAATAGAAGGGAAATGTAACACCCTAAAATTTCCTCGCATAAATAATTAAAAATTAGAGTAATTTAAAAACAATTCAAACATTTAGGATGTCACATCTTCTCCTTCAACATACTCACGCAATAGGATACATAGCACATATTAAAACATGATCACATATTATTCATGTCTAAACTTCAAATGGTTTTATTAGCAGCGGAAAACTTCGACAACAATTACTCTTAACTCTTCAACATGAATTATTCATACAATCCAAAGTTAACATGAATTATCAAATAAATCCAACAAATGGAGTCACACGTAAGTTTACTCCCAACATAAACAAAACAAACATTATTCCCCCAGTGTTACGTATCAGAGTAGATACCAACTCGATCTATGTAATACGAGGCAATCTCCTCAGCTAACCTTGATCTCGAGCTACTCCTGATTATCTATACGATATCATATAAAACACCATTCCAACAGAAGGGTGAGATTCTCAATCACATAAAGAGTGTGTAAGCATATATAAGCACATAATTATTAATCACCCAATCAATCATCAATACATATTGTTCAATGCATTATTCAATAATTCAACAACTCACATTACCAACAACACAACATAGTACATTATGCAATGCCACGAGACTCCATATGCGACTCAATGCATGTGGTACCCTCGGATCATAAGAACCCTCCAAATAATTCCCGTTAGAATTCGGGTACATCGTTCACACCCCACATGGGCACACGATCATCCCACTCTTCGCCGCTCACATCCCACACGGGTACATGACCAACCCACATCGCTCACACCCCACATGGGCACACGATGATGCGATTCTCATTAGAATCTAGATATATCGCTCACACCCCACACGGGCACACGATAATCCCACACATGTACATGTATGCATGACATATGTACAAACATACAACAACCACGTATGCACATCGACCTTCACCGTGGACTCACTATGGGCCAACACACATCATTCACCTGTCAAAACATGCAGCAATAACAATCTATAGATACATCACACATTCTCACTGCATTTTCAATATACCACAAAATCAACACAACTTGACACATACAAAACACAGGTTTACGCGTCTAATAGTTGGAATTATGGTACTGGAAATAATTTTATTAAAAAGTACGTTAAACCAGCTTTCCAATGATACAAACCATGCATCAATCGCACACCTGAAACGAAAGTTACGAATTTCTGAAATTTTAAAAATATTAATGTCCAACTCAATGGTAACCCGTTACCCTCATACTGGTAAACGGTTACACCCCCGTAATCAGAAATCCCTCGTCTTTGTTTGTGTTTGGTAATCGGTTACGCCTCCTGTAACCAAAACACACGTCTTTGTCATTTATTTGATAATTGGTTACCTCCACACTGATAACCGGTTACACCTAGTAAAAAATCAATTTTCTACTATTTCATGCTACGAAAATCACTTATTTTCATAATCCAAACAATCCTATACACCTCACAACACATAAATCACATTCTCAATTTTAGTGCGCATTCACACACATCATCAACAATGTTCTAACACACTAAATTACAATTTAAACACACAATTTCACACATCAAATATATCAATTGCAAACACTGACACAGACACAACAATTATACCAAGAACACCAAAAGAGATGATAATCATAGACATTAATAACTATCCACCCATATATAATTCATGCAATCCCTAAGCAATAGAAAACCCGACCCTTTTACCTTAGAGTTTCCTTGAGATTCTTCTACTTCTCAACAATGGTGATTCCCTTAGCCCTAACTTCTTCCCTGTTCCTGTTCTTCTTTTCTCTCAAATGTGTTCCGTCTATTCTATCGTTTCTATGATCATACCTTGGACAAAACTCTTCCTCTTTTTCCTTGTTTTTACTAAACTAATCCTTAGACCCCTAATTTTCTATTCCACTTATGCCCTTCTCCTTATAATTAAAATAATTATTTAATTATTATAACTAATATTATTATTCATATATACTAAAGATAATAAAAGTATTTAAATAACATTCTCCCTCCACCCCTATGTTTCTACATTTTTGGTCATACATCCCAATACCTTATTTTCTATATTTTTAAAGACTCGCCAACGCGTGTAAATGCATAATATTACATAATTAATTCATAAAAATTAATTCAATAAAATCAAGGTGTTATAGGAAAATCGACTAGAATCAATTCCCAATAAAAAACCATCATTGCACTATTATAGAGTGAAGTTACTCAAGAGGCATAACTCTTTGTTACCTGCCACGTGAGCTAAAGTAAGATTCAGGTTTATAACTCGGGCCTAGTCGTAATACATCTCAGATTCTTCTTGACCGAACATTTCATCCTGATGACATAATTCATACTCGGGGGACTTATGTACATCCCTGAGTAAAAAAGTATAAACGACTATATAGATAAAGGGAAGCCAGGTAGAGACCTTACCCGGGTATCAACTCCACTTAGCTAGAAGCCGGGTATCAACTCCACTTAACTAGAAGTCGGGTACTGACTCTTTTAAGTGTCCTCGATTAGGACCTAGCATTGCATAGCCGATTAGAAACCCGGTCCCAGGCATAAAACGTAACGGTTGTCGACTAGTTGACTGCATACATTATGATAACTTGAATAAGCCCATTCATGGCAGGCGGCGACTTATGAACGTCTGAAACGGAAAGAATGCGTAGAGACACTTCTTAAATAAAGCTCTTAAGGGGAGTAATAGGAGGACTATAAAGAGGAACTCTTGTCAGATGGATAAGCAAGACATTCATCTTGGATCAATACGAACTATCGTCGTAGCACCCAAATCCCTTAAAATCATCAAAAATCTATCCTTATTACGACTCTCTTTTTTCTTACAAGAAAGTCACTCGATTAGTGTTTTTACGCAAGAAATATATATATATATATATATATATATATATATATATATATATATATATATATATATATATATATATATATATATATATATATATATATATATATATATATATATATATATATATATATATATATATATATATATATATATATATATATATATATATATATATATATATATATATATATATATATATATATATATATATATATATATATAGTAGAATTAAAAGAGAAAATATTACATGTAATTAAATTCTTTAAAGTGTCATTCTAAAATATTAAAATATTAAAATAAAATTTCATCTTGTTAGTAAGTCTGACTAATCCTATAATATTAGATTTTTGAAAAACACGTTCAGATTTAAAATTATGTATTCAACAGACAACATACTAAAATGAAGCCATGCATTATTCTTTTCATACTCTTGAATTTTGACCTTCTAAAACCCAATTCATAGAGCAACATACAAAAACTCACTAAGAAAATTATATATGCTTGAAACTTCCCTTACTTTATAATTACACATCATCAAATAAAGGCTTATAAAAAATGAAAAATAAACTCATTAGCAATAGTAAAAAAAACAAAACTACTCACTAGTAGCAGGAATATCTTATTGCAATCACTTAAAAACTAAAACAAATGTTTTCACCAGTGTCATGATCTCTTGCCACCATATCTGAACTATTATGGCCCATTTTTCTGAAAGCAGAGTGCGAAAGAAAACTAAAACTAAAACAAATAACAAAAATCACACTACTAGAACGGTTTTCTTGGTGAAGAAGTTGCGCAGATTCAAAAGCTTACCGCCACTGCTCTCCTCCATTCTGCAGCGCAACTTACGACTGTACCCAACACACACCGGAACATTACCACCACCACCACCGGCGGCTGTAGTGAGCCTTCTCCGGTGACTCACGGTAGTTTCTCTTTTAGTCTTATCATTTTTCATATACAGTGTTTCAGTATTCTTACCGGAGCCTCCACGGCGCCAAACGGGGCTGCTCCTCCCAATATGGACTCCCACCCTACCAAGACTACTAGGAAACTTCCTTGACTTTGAATCTCCGGCGGAATTGCTTCTAGAGCACGGTGCGCTGTTTACTTTCCGGGTAACCGGAACTGATTTAGGTCGGGTGACAGAGTTTTTGGCTGACTTACTCCGAGAGAAAGGCCATATATTGATGTAAAGTTCAGATGAAAAAGAGTCACCGCCACAACCACCCTTTCCAAGTTTTTTCTCATTCTTCTTCTTCTTCTTCACTTTCTCTTCTGTATTGCTGTTGTTTTTCTTCCCAAAGATGTTTTTCCATCGCTTAGATATTGTGTTGATGGTTGAATAATCGGTCATGGCAGGAGATGAGTTGTGTACCTGATCAGAATCAGGTTTCTGCTCGGGTTTGTTGGATATGAGATGGAGGGGAAGGATGACACCATCGAGGAAGAGTTGATCGGCGGAAAGGAGGTTGGGTTGTGGTAAAGAGGGATTTCTTCGCATCCAGAATTCAAATTCTGGTGAACTGCATGCATTGTTGCTTTTTCTTTTTGGGCTTCTATTTGAAGTTGATGATAAAAATGGTGACTGTGTTTTTGAGCTTTTAGTGTCCATGGAATGAAGGTTGAAATAATTGTAAAAAGTTTTGGAGAGTAATCCTGTTATATATAAGTGATAAACTAAGAGGAAAGGTTGGATTATCATTGTCAAATTCAATCAAAATGTTTAATTATATTTCTATATTAGTGTCTGGTCAAATATTTTTTATAATTGTAAGGAGTTTTTGGAGGGTTGTAACGATTGGCACTAGAAAACATTTTAAAAAGTTGGATTATCGAATATAAAGACTACATTGTTGAAATATTAATTAATTATTTAATTATATTTCTATATTATTATGTGGTTAAATATTTAAGGTATTTAAGGTAATGCTAATATGTGCTCTAAAGACTTATAGGGCACATGTTAAGAACTAAAGAAAAAAATTTATTTAAAAAATTATATAATAATTTATTATGAATATATAATTAATATTTTTAATTATTTTTTCTAAATAAATTTTTTAATTAAAAGTTTATTAACATATGTTTTTAGTTAATTAAATATGTTTATTATTTATATTAGTTAATTAATTAATTACGAGAGATGTTCAAGACTACTTTTGGAGACCCACGTATCAAAGCTCATTGGATGCGCTACGAGTAAAGGTTCAAGGAATAAGTGTAGTTTTGCTTAAGTATATAGAACAACTAATTTCTATTTCGTGCCAACTTCTTATTGTTAGATCTAATCGGACAACGATCCATGTGAAACGTCGAATTATTTACAAGAATTCTAATCACAAAAATTATATAAAGTCCGTTGAAGAATTTGGATAAAACTCATCGGATAAAAATCAATGAAGTTGTCACCGAACATTTAATTATCTCACGAAGGAGAATGGGAAATATCGAAGAAAACCTGAAAGGGAGAAATCGCGGTCTTTCGACCAAGAAATCGGGTAAGAGAGTCGCTTACGTGAGGGGAAGGTTTTAACACCACACACATTCGTAGTACTCTACGGTATCCACTCCTGTTGTTTAGCTAATGGGTGTGTAAGAATATATATATCTAAGTTGTACAAGGTACGTATGCAAGAGAAAGAAAAAAGTGTGGGGAAAAGAAAGAAGTATTTATAAATTGTGTTCGGTTATGCCCCATAAAATCCTCTGCCTACGTATCCCTTTTAAGGAATCAGAGCAGCCGTAGTTCGACTCAATAGTTTTTGTAGGTTTGTATTTTTATGGAACAACATCAATTTCGCATCGAGCTTTGGAGACTCACGCATCTGGAGTAGAAAGGAATTAATATGCTCACAAAGTTCTCGGAGGCGAATAATGCTATCGTCGGACTCATAGCAAGTAGACATAGTGCAACCCGACCCTTGGGGAATTATGCATCGTATTGCGTAGAGGGACAATAACACATCTAGTTTGAAATTGAAATATCAAAAGGCAAGAAAAAGAAGTTTGAATTGGTTTGTGTCTTTTACCTTTGCGAAAGGATTTTGAGTTTATTAGAGGTGTTTTAAATATTTGCCAAGATATAGTGTATTTTAAGCACATGCAAAGTGGGGAAAAAGAAAGACTCTACGGGGGACTAACCTATTTCTATCCTAGAGTTATCATACAAACATCGCCTTAAGATTCGGACCAAGGTTTACTAGGAACCAACTCACCCGAGAAAGAATCATCATAATTGTTAATCAGAATAAACTCATCGTCGAGAATAGTCCGCAAGTCCTAAGGGAGCATGACAAGTGGAAGAAAGCAAGTACAAAATATACAAAGAGATAAGCGGGTAGGAAAAACGAGCAAGTGGAACAAACTCATCATCGTTAGTGAACCAACACAATAAAGGGAACAAAACTCATCATCGAGAGTGAACCGCAAAAAATAATAATATCTAAGAATTTCTTTTCTTTTTATGCTTGTGCAACAAGTTAAATAAAAAGGGAGCAAACTCATCATCGAGAATGAACCAAACCAAGCCTCAAAGGGAACATCCCACCCGGGTATGAACCAGGCGCGCAACATTATTATTTCTTCCTTTGTATTTTGACATAATTGCAAATGACAAAAGATAATATAAATCGAATACACCTGGGACAAACTCATCATCGAGAATGAACAAAAGACCAAGTACCAAACTCATCATCGATAATAACACAAGAACATGCGAGAAAATAAACACACGTGTAAATTTTCCTATTCCAAGATAGGACTTTAAACAAACACAATTAGCATAAAGAAAGCGATGCCTACTGTAGGACTTTAAACAGATACTTCGAGTGTACACTCTTTATTTCCTGCTTCCTACTTCTCATGATCTCTAAAAAGCGATAAATTCTCTTACTATACATGATCTCTAGAAAGCGGTAAATGTAATATTATAACAAATGACCCAAAATCATACCAAACAGATAATAAGAATCCGCAAAAACAAACTCAATGTATGGTGAAAGCTCGGAGGACGCTGCAAACTAGCATCAACAGCAAATAGCGTCAGAAGCGTGAACAATATATGTGAGTAAAGCGTATCCGTCACCAAACTTATTGGTATCCAAATTGCTGCTTAAAATATGCACATCTCACAAAATTTATTAGTAGATAACAACACAATCAAATGCGATAATAGCAATTAGCAATATGCACAAAAATGAAGCATGGATATGTGCAAGGAAAAGCAAACAAGTCAAAAGAGCATAACATGGCATTCTGGACAGCAACCTCATACTCATGAAAATAGGTGCAAAAACTGGTTTAGAAACATCCACACTTGCTACCGATATCGAAGAAATTCTCAAATAAGTACAACAATGCATTATCCACAAGCTAAAACTCAATGCACATGCGAAATACAAATTCCAGACAGCATTACGTGCATTTTTGAAATTCATCATGAATCGATTTGAAAATCAAAGTTTTAGTGCATAAATCTTGAATGTTATCACGAGAATGTTATCTGAAACTGCACATGAACATGTGACCTCAAGATCAATCTAAAAGTCGAGAATCAAAGTTTTAAATCCACATGAATTTAATGTATTGGAATTTAATCAACAACTTGCAAATTAATTCTAACTCATGAGTTTATGTTTTTATACCAAAAGTGTGATAAATAGGAATCAACTTGCAATTTGTCAAAATCAAAAGTTATGAATCAAAATGTGTTCCGATACGCTAAATTCACAAAACTTCTCAAGCAATTAATTAAACCAGATGATATTACTTGACATCAAAGTAAGAGTTAACATACAAAAAGTATCACAATTCAAAAATGAAACACAAGATAATAAGAAAAAAAACTTGAATCGGAAAGTTAGAAAATTAATCAAAAATAATCAGGAATCAACTGCAAAAATTAAGGTGACATAGAAACGTACCAACGGTTCCAAAAATTAACTCGGTTCGGCCAAATTCTGTTCTGAAACATGATTTTCAAAACTGCTACAGTAGCAGAAAAACGAAATGAAATTTTTCCGAATAGAAAAAATACCTGGGGGAGTGATTCTGGATGGCTCGAGAAACTCGGTTTTCATTAAAGAAAGTCGGAAAAAAATTGATACGGATCAAAAGTTAGAGCAAAAACACCAATTATGTCAAATTTTGTCATTTATCAAGTATTGAGATATTTTCTATCAAACTCAATCAAAATTACTTCCAAAATGTTTTGCAATGGTATTTGAGTCCATTATAAATTATCTCAATTCATTGAAATGACAAGCAACAAGCAATCAACCAAAAATTGACAAAAAAATTAGTTTATGTTAAGAATTAGTGATCCAGAATATTAATGATCATCAACCAAATAAATGAAAACATGTTATAAAATTTGAAATCAAGGATTAGGCCTAAACTAAACTAATTGTTAGTTTATGTTACAACATCTAAATCAAAGAAATTAGTACCTAACATACATGTTAGTTTTAACTAAACCTTATATCAAATTCTCCCTAAATCGAGGATACAAACAAATTCTAAATTCAATTAATAACCTAGTTCGAGAATTAAGAACTACACTATAATCTAAGTGTTATTCTAATCCTAAATGTTCTAGGCTTCTATGAGTAATTAAGGCAAACACCTATTGTACACAAATTATACTAAGTTTCTATCTCACAAACCATATTCAAGAACCTAATCAATTCCTAAATCAATTTCAACCTAAACCTCTAATTCAATTTTAGAACTATACAAGCTATGTTAATTCCTATTTGATCAATCAATTCACAATCCAATTGTTCAACTCCACAAAATCCAAGCATAAAAGCTCAAGAAAAACCATGGAGGTTAATATTTACCTCTTGAACACTTGAAGAAGATGAAGAGGAAAGGTGATGGGTGTTGTCCAGAGAAGAGGATGTTGCGCCGGAAAGGAGAGAGCGGTGAAGAGGAGTGTCGGAGACAAAGGGACACAAACAAAGATGAGAGCAAAACGGATATGCACACGGACGAAGGGAGATCACGTGGATGGATAGCTGCGATCGTGGCGAGGAGGAGAGACGGAGGGAGAAATACACGGTGCAGTTGAGCAGAGGGAGGGAGTTTCGGCGGGAGCTTTGCCAAAATTGGTGGTGCGGTGGAGATGTTGGTTGTGCAAGAGAGGGAGGTTGTGTTCTTGAGTGAGAGAAGAGAAAATATATAGGGAAATGAAATTTGAAATAATGAGTCTCCTCCTTTGAAATTTGGTGGTAAAAACAATATATAGTGTTGTTTAAAAAATCAAATTTTCATCTTATTTGCCGCTTAAGTGAAAATTACGCTGTGATCCACAAATCTTTCTGAACGTGGACCTCCCGTGAAAATATGTGCCTCTGAATCACGATGTCATTCAAAAAGAATGGATGCTTTCTTATAAAAATTGAGTGAGTTCGATACGTTTAAGCGGCGAGACGTCACTGTAAAAAATTAATTAAGTCAAAATATCAGCTTATTTGACCTTTGTTATTCGAACAAATCACGAGCTCGTGCCCAAAAAATTAGAATCTCGTATCCACCCAAAAGAAATATAGATCTCCGCGTACCTGGCATCGTTTCAAAAAATGAGAACCATCTGATAAACGATGAATTTAT